TTTTTAACTGAATGCTTTTGCAGCATGTCAGAATGCAGTGCACAAAAATGCTACGTGTCCGCATTTTTTTCATCGCACAAATGCAGCACATTGGCTTCGCTGAATCAATAGGACATAAGGATTTTTGCCTTGTCTTTGCCTTGGAACTGTGTTGGGCTGTATTGCTGATGGTGTGAAAGGAAGTAAAACAGAATCACATAATTATTTTTCAATAATACATAGTTTACATGTTACAGTTGATAATGAAAAAAGACACAGGGTGATCAAGTTTAGCCTCTGTCTAATTGTAAGGTAGCCTATAGATGATTTGATTTTCTTTCTTTCCAACATGGGTGAAGGTGCTACTTTAATAGTGATGTGACTTTGCTAGTTGATGTATATCTTTTAAACATATACTTTTCTCATGGTATGTTGTATTATGAACCTTTTGAAGTTTCAATAAAGCCTATTTGGTATTAAAAAAATTTAAAGTGCCCTGTCCCCCCATGCTCATGCGCAAATGCGAGCGCATATGTAGGTCTTGCACACATATGTAAACAGTGATTTCATCTCACATGTCAGATGTTTCCACAAAAGTCAGAGTGAGAGCAATAGTTCTAGCACCAGACCTCCTGTGTAACTTTAAATTGGTAACCCATAAAGGCTTTTAAAGTGTTGCCGCAATGGTTTTGCACGGAGCAGCCCCAACCCTCCTCTTCTCAGGTCACTCTCCGGTGCTCTGCACATCCCCCGGCAAGTGCCCCCATAGCAAGCCACTTGCTATGGGGGCACTCGTGTGCTCGTTCCTGAACTTTGTGGACTGTGATGTAAAGGGGAATGCTGCAGATGTTGGTGTAAAGGGAAATTCTGATGCAAGAAGGTCTCTAGTCACCAGAGCCCCCTCCCCCCCTTACATCAGAGTCTGCAGCATTCCCCCTTCCATTATGGTCTGCAGTGTTCCCCATTACATCAGATTTCCCACTTACATCAGAATCTGCACTTTGCAGCATTGCCGTTTACATCAGCGTTCCCCTTTGTCAGAGTCCACATGGTTCTCCCTTACACTGTAAGGGTAAATCTTACAGACTCAGATGTAAAGAGGGCAGCAGAATGGCTAAATGAAATACAATACACCTTAATATGTGAATAACCCACTTGAAAGTAACACTTTCTCCCTAGAAAGTAGAACTATTATAATAACCTTTCTCAGAGACTATTCTATCTATCTATTCCAACATTCTCAAAAATAACTTATAAAATTAAAAAATAACTTATAAATAAATAAATTATACAAAATAATATATATTATAAATAATCAAAATAGTCCAATTCAATCCGAAATCCACCCAAAGCAAATACAAATGAGTCCACTAAGAAGAATTCCAATCCTATTTCAATCCTGTGATACCTCGAAAAAAAGAACACTGATATAGTGCATTATCGTCCACAATAATATATAACAGTAAAACGTGCAAAATAAATCAGTGCATCAGTCCAAACCACTCAACTATGAAAAACTAGTGATTATGCAAGAGAGAGAAAAAAAAAAATATTATAAACCCAAAATATATTTAATACTTCAGAATTATTAAATGTGAACAAAATTCCATCTATAGTGAACACTTCAATATTTATGGTGAACACTCAGTGACCACTCCAATTCATATAGTGAACACTCAAGATAGTGATATTAAATACCATTACCCTCTGGTAGTATTCATAAGCTTATCATGATATCTCTGGTAAGGTATTATTTCCAAGTCTTCCTCCACTTCAGGATCCCATCTTCCATATTCCTCACAAAGCAAAGTAGACTCATATAATAGATTCCAAAGTAAAAGGATAAATTTATTAAATTACTTACATTGGAGATAAAAATATCAGCTCTGTGGCTAACTCAACCAGCCTTGCAAACAAACAGGGCATGTAAACCACGTTTTTCCAGTAGTTAAGGGGTGTTAGGGGACGTGACGTCAAGACGCACGCAGGAAAACCGGAAGTGCTGCCGTGGCCATTTTAACTACTGGAAAAACGTGGTTTACATGCCCTATTGTTTGCAAGGCTGGTTGAGTTAGCCACAGAGCTGATATTTTTATCTCCAATGTAAGTCATTTAATAAATGTATCCTTTTACTTTGGAATCTATTATATGAGTCTCCTTTGCTTTGTGAGGAATATGGAAGATGGGATCCTGAAGTGGAGGAAGACTCTGAGAAAGGCTATTATAACAGTGGCTAAATGGTTAGCACTTCCGCCTGGCAGTACTAGGGTCATTGGTTCAAATCCCAGACACGGCACCTCCTGTCTGGAGTTTGCATGTTCTCTCTGTGCCTGCGTGGGTTTCCTCCGGGTACTCCGGTTTCCTCCCACACTCCAAAGACATGCTGGTAGGTTAATTGGATCCTGTCTAAATTGGCCCTTGTATATAAATGTGAGTTAGGGACCTTAGACTGTACACCTCTTGAGGATTAGAGACTGATGTGAATGTACAATATATATGTAAAGCGCTGCGTAAATTGACGGCACTATATAAGTACCTGAAATAAAATTAAAATTAAAGGGGAACTCTGAGGACATTTATTAAAGGGGGATACCAGGAACTCTAGTGGGGGGCTCTGGTGATCACAGACCTTCCGCAGAGTGAATTCATTAAGGTTAAGGGGGTTACTAATGTAAGGGAGAACCTTTAAATCAGTGCCCCCCCCCTTATCTTAGTGTATTCAGCGCCCTTCCCCCACAGACTTGGTGTGGCCTGGGACTGACAGGATCTCACTGACATGCCTCTTCTGTAGGACGGCAGAACAGTGAGGCAGACTCAGTCAGACCATGGTCGTCCTCTGCTTCTTCATCCTCCGGCTGGACTCCTTCCCGTCCTGGTGCTCACCTTCCTGCCACTGAGGGCAAGCTCAATCAGACCACAGTTGTCTGTTCTTTGATCCTTCCTCTTTATTCTAGACTCCAGTCCTCCCCTGCCCGGCACTCCTGCTCTCTGCTCCCCCTCCTACAATTCGTAAAAGGTGCCAAGTGGGCGCCATGACATCACCACACGCCCACCTGGCTGTGCAGTTCTGAAGCTGGCCAGTGGCCATATTTTATACGGAGAGCCACCGTCTGTAACAGACATTCACGAACAGTATAAAACTCAGGCGATTTTTACACACTGTATATTTGATAGTTGGCAACCCAGCTGTGACTGCAGCCAGACATGAGAGAAAACTGGTAAGTGTTCAGCTTAGGAGCAGGCAGGAATGAATGGCAGTGCTGCAGCTTTGTCACTGTAGAAAAGGAAGTGTTTTAACTGAGACAGAAATGTAAAGAATACAAAAAGCTCAAACATTATTACATGTGAAACATATTTGGTTTAGATACACTTTTGGAACAGAACATTTAAAACAATAGCTGGTCTTATTTTATATCTCAAATTACACATCCTTATGTACTTTCTATTGTTTTATATAGTGTGCTGTTTCAACATTTGCTTTCTAAAGATGCCAACTGTGTTTTAGATGCTTTTATAGTACTGCTTGCTACTTTCAAAGCACATTGGCTATATTTTTTACATACGGATGTAACAAACTTTGCAATTGTATAATTATGCTGTGTGAAAGTCTTTTTTTCAGCTCTTGTTCCTTTTTAAATCTGTGCTGCACTGTACTGTTAATATCCCCCTGATTGCTGTGTGCAACAGCTATCAACACACTAAGCCAGTATTATGCTAGGAAGGTGCGTTATGGGTAATAAACCAAAAAATGCAAGCAGATTAAAACATCTGCTCGAACTGTGTAAGTGTGCCAAGTGCTACATTTTCTGGAGATTTCATCTGGTGCGGCAGAGATAAAAATATAGATATTTTTAGCTCAAAATGTGTACAAACTTTGTGTTAGAGGGTGCTAAATACACCCACCACCATTTTGCCATCTGTGCATTTTGATGAATGGAGCTGTGAACAAAGATCAGCTGATAACAGCCACCAACCATGAATATTTCATAACCAAGTAAGTGTGTATGGCCAAGGACATTTTCTGAAAGTAGGCATGCATAGAAAACCTATTGTGTCATTCTTCCAGGGCTCTTTTTTTTATATGCTTCTTTGCTTAAACTTAAGCTAGTTTAATATTAAAGGGAATTAATAGTGATTTTGTATATATTTTCTGTTCTAGCAGAGCAAAGGCAAATATTTTCATAATATGTACAGTTAAGTAAATGTCGGGATTGTTTAACACCTTCACTGCTATAGAATGAAAGTAATTGGACCTTGTGATGATACGTATATTTTTTTTATTATTGTGATCAAACACAGTTTGTAATGGTTTTAATATAACACATTTGTCTTTGAGCACCTTTAAAGTCCCGAAGTTAAAATTTTGTTGGTAAATGTGAAATATAGTATATTAACAATGTGCATTCTTCTTTCTAGCTAGCAGGTGCAAATCTAGGTTCCTTTCACCTTGCTGAAAGCCTGTTGTTTACAGAGCTCAGTAGCTCCTGCCTTTTAGTGATGCTTTCTATGTGTATTTTGTGCAGTTGTGCATGCAAAATCTCTATTTGCTAATGTTCTTTCCCTTACCTTTTATAAAGAATGAACACAAAACCTGTTTAAAATAAGTCACAATAACAGATATAAATATGAATTACAAGTGCACATTAATGCATCTGTCAAATGCATTTAACACGTAAATGTTCATTACTGTGTGCACATAATTTTGAAAGGGTCTTATGGTGTGTTGCTTTAAAGATGATTTAAAGAAACAAAATGCAAATTGGTGTGCATTTAGAAATTCAAATTAGCTTGCATCACAAGCACAACTGCGTTATAAAAGCACACTGATTTGTACTATATTTAAAGACTGCAGTAAAGTTCTACCACCACTGTGCAGTAACAACACATAACATATGTACTGTATATGTTGAGATATATATATATATATATATATATATATATATATATATATACCTTTTACTGCAGATGTGTGCAAATGGGTGCATTACTCATCTGTCTCTCCTCTTTTTTTGACATTTTAGGACTATACAATCTCCAGGTCAGGTCCCGGTAGTGGTTTCTCCTGGCAGTCAGCAGTTGCATACTGTAACACTCCAGACAGTGCCTCTCACCACAGTAATAACAAGCACAGACCCAACAGCTGCTGCAGGCTCACAGAAATTCATCCTTCAAGCCATTCCTTCAGGCCAGTCGATGACCGTACTCAAGGACAACATGGTGCTACATCCTCAGAAAACTGGCTCACCTCCGCCGTCCATTGTCCTAAGCTCTAGCCAAGTTCAGCAAGTTCTGAATGGCAATGTCCAAAGCCTTTGTAATGGAACAGTCAGTGTGCCTTCATCTCCAGTCTTCAGTGCAACCACTCCAGTTATGTCCTTTTCAACCAGCCCTTCACCACTTCTTAACCAAACTCCTGGCACAGTCATCACTTCTGTGATCAAATCACCTGAGCCTAAACAAACATTTATTCAAGTTACCAACAGTCAAGATTCTCAGGAAGGCCCATCTCAAGCTGTTGAGCAAACTGAGCAAACAATTCCAACATCATGCGTGTTAGTAGTTGCCAGCCCAAATGGATTCCCAACCCAGATGGAAATTAAACAGGAGAACGATATCTGGGAATTTGATTCCAAGTAAAAAGAAAACCTCCATATTTAATTGTTTTCCCAAATGTGATGGGCTCTTCTTCAGTTTGCATAAAATTTTTTACAAAGTGCATTATTTTTTTCCACCCACAATTCCTGTTTTTTTTTATCTTTAGAGTTCCCTAGCAGTAACTCATTTAATTTGTGTTCAGTTGGTTTAGATTTTAAATCCTAAATCTGAACTTATTTTTTTTTTCTTTTTTTTTTGCCCTTAGTTAAAAAATAAAACAAAAAATATCTGGCTGCTGTACTTCCTCTCCATGGCTGTCCCCTTCTGTAATTTTTTTTGCCACTTGATGTCCTCAGCCTCAGAATGACATCCATGGTTATTCAGTCTGAAAGACTTAAGACCTCCTATGAGTGCAGGGGTTGTCAACACAGTACACTGCACTCAGTGTAATAATACAGAGTGCTATGTTGATCACAGCCCTGCCTCACCTGGAGAAGGGGCACAAGGGATCCTGCGGCATCATAAAACCAGCCTGAAGTCTCACGGAAAAGGTGAGTATAAATTACAGTTGGGAACATTAATGAGAATTCTATAGATGTATAATTTGTTTCTGGGACCCCCTGTTGAAGGAACGTGCCTTTTCTGCTATGAGGACAAGACTTTTACTGTCATTGAAGCAAATATTTTTCTACAAAAATTGTGACAATCTTTTAGTATGTTCATATAAGCTGTGCTGTCTGTAAATTCTATTTTGATAGCTTGTAACACATCAAACCTATACAGTTTAGCTTATTTTTTTTTTTTTTTTTTTATAGTTCTGAACTTTTCTTCTGTATCATACCACTGATACATGACTACTTGCAGGCCAGCAATTTAAGAATTGTTATCTATAAATCAGATACGACTTATGTTTTGCACTGTTCTAAAGGCATTTATTCCCATTCTGATGTTAGTTTTTGCTTTTTGAAATATTGACTTTAAGCAATAACTGTTGTGCCTTTGTTTAATCCACCCTTTACAAGGCATGTGAAAGCAATGTAAGGGTGTGGAGTACCTTTTTTATTTGTACATAATGTATATTTACTTACATGCTGAGAAAAATGCTAAATGCGGGCTTAATAAAAAGAAATTCGTGTCTTAACATAAATTTCAACCAAACAGAATCAATTTTTATAGACTCGAGATCAATATATGTTTAGAGTTCAAAGTTATTCTTTATGTATTGATAGAGATTGTATTTGTATTTAAAAAAAGATTTAAAATATCTGAAATAACTTTCAGCCTGTTTTTGTATTTTAATTGGTTTATTAAGAAAAATAAATCCGATTCACAGAATTTTTTTTTTTTTTACAGTTTATATCCACTGTGTGTTCATATCAGAAATTCTGCCACCTCTCTATAAAGGTGAATTTATTTATGCTTGATTTGTGGCAGAAGTGTTTTCCATTTATTTGCCGTTTTTGTCCATTTTAATTCATTCTACGTAGTACAGGAGATGACCAGAGTCTGCGGACGTAGTACAGGAGATGTCCAGAGACTGCGGACGTAGTACAGGAGATGTCCAGAGACTGCGGACGTAGTACAGGAGATGACCAGAGACTGCGGACGTAGTACAGGAGATGTCCAGAGACTGCGGACGTAGTACAGGAGATGTCCAGAGACTGCGGACGTAGTACAGGAGATGACCAGAGACTGCGGACGTAGTACAGGAGATGACCAGAGACTGCGGACGTAGTACAGGAGATGACCAGAGACTGCGGACGTAGTACAGGAGAGAGACCAGAGACTGCGGACGTAGTACAGGAGATGACCAGAGACTGCGGACGTAGTACAGGAGATGACCAGAGACTGCAGACCTTTGGGGAGCGAAAGGGGGGCGGAGCTGGTACCTGAATTTGACAGGTACCCGCTCCCACTTCCGCAGAGTTGTCCTCCCTCCCTGTCTTCTGGGACATGTGACAGGTCCCAGAAGAGTGCTGGACCATTCACAAAGCGCAGCACTTCTCACGCATGCGCAGTGGGCACCCGGCTGTGAAGCCGCAGCTGTCACAGCCGGGTGCCCACACTAAAGATGCCGGCGCCAGGGAGAGAAGAAGGTGAGAAACACTGCTGGACCAAGGAATAGGTTCTGCTGCACAGAAGAGCCGAGTGGCTATCCCGGTATTCTAACACGATGGCGGCAGGAATACCGGGCCGGCTGCTCCATAAGATGCACAGACATTTCACCCCATTTTTTTTTTTGGGGGGGGGGGTGCGTCTTAGCGAAACATATATGGTATTTTTAATAGTAAACAAAGCCTGATAGACCAGTGGTGTCCAAAATGTGGCCTGCAGGCCGAATGCATCCCCTGTTTGATTTCAGCCAGTTTCTCCTCCTGACATGACAATGAGGCTCCATAACTTCCACTGACACCAAAATTGAGGCATCCCAACCCCAACAGTGACTCCAACAGTGGGGCACTTCTTCCACTGACATCAATCATGGGGCACTAATCTCACTGAAACCAACCATGGGCTTCCACTGACACCAACGGTGAGGCATAATTCCTCCCACTGATATAAATAATGGAACACTTTCACTCCCAGTGACACCAAAGATGGAGTACTATTCCTCCTACTAACACCAACAGTGGGCACAGTTCCTTCCACTGACATCAATGTTGGGGCACTATTCCTCTCACTGAAGCCAACCATGAAGCACTATTCCTCCAACTAATACACATTTTTTTCCCCCTGCAGAAGCAAATTGGATCATGCTGTGCTGGGTTTTTTGCCTTCCTCTGGATCAGCTATGGGTGTAGGATTATAACTTTTCTTTTATTATGGTTGAACTGGGTGGACTTTTGTTCTTTTTCAGCCAAACTAACTATGTAACTACATGGGATAATATTATTCCTCCCACTGACCACCAAGCCTGAGGCATTGTTTACTCCCACTGATGCTGGGGCATTTTCTACGCTCATTGCCCAGTCTCCGTAAAGTCTGAAGAACAATAAAGTGGCCCTTTGTTAGAAAGTTTTGAGACCCCTCCCCTAGACAGTGCTGGGGAGGGGAGAGGGTCTGAGCAAGTCTTTTTACATCATGTCCTATACTCCTGTAGATGTGCTATCACTCTAAAGGGCCGTGGTCAGAGCTAGGCCTGGCTATTCTCTAATGGGGCTATCAACAGTGCCAACATCTAAACAGCTACAGCAGCAATGAGGGTGACAACACTTCAGGGATTTCACTGCATAAGGTAGGATGTTGACACCATATCAAAAAAGTAGCTATCCAGTGGTTCTACTGGAATACTTGACAGGTATTTCCAAAATGTTCCTGGGGATTCTCATTAAAAAGAAGCCCATGCCTATTTGCATGAGCAATCAACTTCCTATAGATGATCTTATAGTTTGACCATTGTTTTGGCTGCATAAATTCTACTGCATCAGCATGCATATTGGGTGTCTGTAAAAATATTAATGCAGCAAGGAAGAATTTTGGCATTTTACAGCCCTAGCAGTAATTTAGCATGCCTGAATGATGACACCCTTTTGTTCAAGCTCCACCTATTGTATAATCATTTTTAGTGAAAAACCAATGCCTGAATGATCACACACAGAATGCCATGTAATGCTTTGTATACAGAGCTACTTATTACTTGTACAGTTCACCAAACAAGAAAAGAGAGATTTTCATGTTTCCTGAACTACAAAGAGCCTTCTGACTCCTCACATATGGACAGAAAAGAGCAAGAGAGAAAGTATACTGTATATTTTTTTATTTTTCATTTAACCAGTGGGTAGAAACAAAATAAAATTAACCCCTTCACGTCTAAGGGTAAAACAAATCCTAATGCCTAAGCACAATTTTGCAACGTTGACATTTGTTAGTAAAACTGTACATATCACAACTACGTTGTCCAGCCAGGTGAATTATACCTTGTGGTGTTTTTTTTTTTTTTTTTCTTCAGGACAAATTGGGCTTTCATTTGGTGGTAAATAGTAATGGATATCTCCTGATGATGATTTTTGTTTTATTATCAAAAGAAAACTGGCCCAAAATCGTAAAAAAAAAACCTTTTTTTTCTTTTTTTTTAATTTAGCTGTGTGTTTCTTGTTACTACCATAACCTATCATCAAAGAATAACTCAAAATAAAATTTCCAGCTCTTGACGATCGCAGCGATGCCATATATGTGTGTGTGTTCTTTGTTGTTTGTACCCGTAGTACAGCCCAGAATCAATTAGTGCACATTTTGTTTACCTAAAACACACTGACAATAATACCACTTCTTTTTTTTTTTTTTTTTTTTTTTAATCCTGATCTCTTGACCTTTGACCCTGTCCCAAACACTTACCCTGGCACTGAACTAGATCAAACTTTGATCTAGGTATTTTTTTTCTTATTTTCTTTTTTTTTAACAAAATTTTTTTACTTCTATGCCAGGAGTTAGAGAGATACAGTGTATCTCTCTCTTCCATTCATAGAGCGAACAAAAAAACAATGGGGCCAGGCTGTACAGTGACTGGTCACTTTGATAGCCAATCAGAGGCTATCACAGTGATCATGTGACCCGGAATCGGGAGTCCTGGGTCCCATTTGTTAGAACAGGACCCGGGGCTGTCAGTGACACCTTGATCTTTGTGCTGGGAGTGAGCTGTGCAGCCCGCTCCTAGCACAAAGACAGGTACGCAAATATGTGGCCCCATGGAAAAAAAGCCCAGTTCTGTGAGGCCGCATATTTGTGAGATGTCGGCATCAAGGGGTTAACCTTTTCCCCCATCCACATACTCGAGGTGGATCGGGGAATCCTGGCAGCTGATTTCTGACAGAGGTGAGACTTCTCTGTCATCAAAATACACTGATTAAGCATCAAAAATCCGACAGGGCGGTTATACAGAAGTCGATCTGTAGATTGATTTCTGTACAACCACCCTGTCCATATATGGGTCGAAATTCAGCTGGTCCCTGCTAAACTGGACAAATTTCAGTTCATGTATGGTAGGCTTAACCTCTCTACTCTGTACCCTAGCCCAGTGGTGTATTTTGCTTTTGTGCTGCCCT